CCCTAGAATTCTCAGATGCAATAATACATCAATATCAAGATTGTCGATAACTACTGTGATGGGTTACTTTTCCCGTATCCAAGCAAGATCAAGAACCTCAGAATTCTCAGCTGCAACAAACCATCAAGAACAAAATGGTTCGCATCTGATTGTGACGGATTTACTCATCTCGCATCCAAGAAAGATCGAGAATCCTAAAATTATCAGATGAACAAAGCTAACAACGCACGACTGCCGGTAACTACTTGTGATAGATTTAATCGCTCCGCATCGAAGAAAAATCAAGAACCCTAGAAATCTCAGATGCAAGAAAGCGCCGAGACCCAGATGGTTTTGTAATTAGCGAGCGATTGTTGGCAGATTAGGCAGTCTTGACATCGAGAGGGACAGAGATCGAGCGGAGAACAACTTCGATCAACATCTTGGCCTTGGGTCACGAAATCATAGCTCGAATACAGAAATGCATAGTCGGAATTCATCCAGAACGAAGACGGGAATACGAACCTGGCCTGATCTGTTCCGCCGCAAGAAAATCGCACCGAAATCTTGGGAGATCGGAGACCTACCGCTCCACCAGCTCCTCTTTTCGATCGCTAGCTGCGACAAGAAAAGCGACGGAGAAACGCCAAGACCGAAAAGACCGACGGATGGGAGATCGGAGATATATGAGCGAAGGATATAATATTATACGTAGCAGAGAAAGGAATTGCGTTTGACGAATGGATGGCGTGGTTTTATATCGGCCGATAAATGAGATTGTAACGGCCGAAAGTGATCTGATATTGTTTCGGCGATGTGTGCAGGCCAATAAAATGGTACACCGCCACGCTCGTGGCAGCATCACATTGGTGTCTTCATAATTGGGGTTTTGGGACCGGTTATGGAGTAACGAATCGGTTGACATAAATTTGGCTAGCTCTGTCAGAATAGGTGCATGGCCATTCCATTTGTAAGCACGACCTATATCGATAGAGCCACTCCCAGCCTTTTTAATCAGATTAGGTCTCTCCGAGAAGCATGGATGGTCATCCACAGCGAGCATATCTTAAACAACGACACGGCTGCACGAGATCAGAGTGAGATCCGTACCTCTTTAACAAAGTACCCATTTTAAACTACACGAACTATAGGGACTAAAATGAAAAAATGCCGAAAAGCAAAAAAAAGGGTTTTCAGCCACCGCCTCTTTCCGCCGTCTCTCGCTTGTACGAGATAGGGTCTCGGGTAACACGGAGGAGAAGAAGAAAAGAAGAAGAGGAAGAAGAAAGGGAGGAGAGGAGATAGATGATGTGGGTTTCGGCGCATGCAGAGAGGAAGAGGAAAGGTAGCAGGGGGATTGATCTGCTGTGATCAGAGGAGAAAAGAACAAGAGAACGAAGAAGAAGAAAGGGCTCGTGCAAGTAATCTGCACCAGAGGCAGAAGAAAGAGAAGAAAGAAAAAGAAAAAGAGAAAGAAGAGAAGCCAGAAAGGGGGGGGAGAGAGAGAGACAGAGAGGAAAGGAAGAGACAAGATAGGTAGATGGCGTCGGCTGTGAGATCAGAGAAGACAGAAAAGAAGAGAAGGGAAGGAGGCGAATGGAAAGAAAGAAAGAGGAAGAGGTTTCGAGTGTGAGCGAGGAGAAGAGACGGCAGAAAAGAAGAAGTAGAAGAAAGAAAATAAAAAAAAATTAAGAAAAATGTATTGAGGATATATTTTTGTAAATCCAAAAAAATTTATATTATGAATTATTTTAAATTCTTTTTTATTTTTTTTATTAATTATATTTATGTTTTGGATGATGAGTCTTGATTTTTTAATTAATTAAATATTTCTATTATAAAGGAAATAAAATAATAAGAAATATTTATTTAATTAAAATAAGAAAAGAAAAAAGAAAATATCAGAACTGGATATTTATATCCACGATACTTGATTCGATTAAGTATCCTATGGTTTCATTTAGTCTTTTTTTAGAAGTATTAATTTATTTGTTTGATATTTATAAAAGTATAGAATTTACATAATTTAGATATTATTTTATTATTTAAAAAATATTTTATATGTATTTTTAACTGTTGTTATTTTATAGTTTATAGAAGCATATAGTTTTAAAAAATTTTGCTCGTGTCACGTTTCGTGGTCGAAAAAGCCGGCGACACAGGGTAGGAGCTACATCCACGTGACCGGGGCCGCCACACATGAACCAATAAATATCCAGCCTGCGCTTCCTTTGCGAGGCCCACAACATCCCAATCCAACACGTGATAGAAAGGAAAAACCAGATCATGGGAGCGAGTGGTGTACCGCCGCCCGATCCGGCACCCGCTCTTAGTGGCCGTGGGTCCCCCGTCGTCCTCTCCCGCTGGAGATATCTTTCCACGGTTCCTTCCGTTTCCGTGAAACGACGGCGCGCAAAAAGCAACGTCGTCTGCGGAGCTCTCCCCGAAGAGCCGCTACAGTTGGCAAATTCTAAAAGTTTGGTCTTGCTAGGAGGAGTTCACTTGATGACGGGTAAATGGCCAGTCGACTGACACGCGTCCTTTTGTAATTAACTAATCTTATTATCGTAGTTGTTATATTTTCAAAAATTATATTATATTTTTATATTTCTACATTCTATTTATGATAATATCGTAGAATTCATCATTGAGTATGTGCTAACTTGAAAAAATTTAATTAAATATTTTGGATCTAATATAACTTTTAAAGATATAGATATTAGGATAATAAAGATTGTTAATTATATACGATAATATGTAATTAGTCATCTAAATATATGTATAAGCTTAAATATTCACTTTACCGTTTACAAAAAAGATATTTTTAAAAAATATATAAAATAAAATTTAATTAAAATACTATTATAAATTCTCTGCTGTCAGTATAAAGAATTTGATTTGGTGTGAATATGAACCCAAATCCAACATTTTTATCATGAGGAGGTTTGCATCTTAGTGCAACGTCTGCATCCGATCCATCCCATCGTCGCTTGGCCTATAAAGTCTCCTATATCATAACTCCGATTAAGCTTTGGATGTTGAGGACGAATCATACGCATCAACACATGGCCTGTAAAGTCGGATTAAGCTTTGGATGTTGAAAGCGAATCAACACATCAAAAGCACTGATCCATAAGATTATTCTTTGTGATTAAGTCCATCGACTACTCATGTATCTTAACAGAGAAAATAGGACATTGGAAGTCATCTTATATTCATAGAACAAAATTCTTCACGTATTCAGCATCTTCTATTTTACAAAGAATAAAGTGTTCACAGATGTCCAAGTTCCATTGTTAAGCATGTCGAAATATCTGCATTCGATCATGTTTGTTGATCCATCTTATCCTTCACGTACACAATGTGCATAGGATGTCTTTGTCACTTGCGACTCACCGGACGAGATTTGCCACTTGATCTCTTCGATTAATGAGTCTCATGTTTGGATCATGAAATAAATGTGTGTTTGAACCTATGATGAAGTGATAGCAGCTGGCATGTAGTTATAGCAGAAGTCATAGAGAAAAAGACATGACATGACACAGGATGATTGCGCACCGTATATCAATCAACGGCTCAACTTCCCCCATCAAGTAGAGTTAAATACGCAGAAGAACAATAACAATTATCCATATATCTTATGGGTTCCCAAATCCACCATATAAAATTGCTCTAATTTTCTTCCTCGGTCTCACAAGAATCCTGTGATTGTTTTGACTTCCATCTGTTGTTGTGGAGTTTCTGTTTCACGTTTCGTGTAGTTTCCCTCGTTCCAGAAGACATTGATCAGCGGTGCAGTAAACTAAAAGGACCGAAAGGCTTCTTCATCACGTCGAAGCAGAAAACACGAGCAGCAAACAGCGTGTCGGGGAAGAAAAGAAAGAAGAATACGACCCATGAAAGCACCGCTTGTTCTACCCTCGGCGAGGGATCAAATCACATGCCCACTTCTCGCCGGTCCCGCAATTATTTCCGCACATGAGGAACTCGTGCACTTCCTCCGCTCCCCCTCCCAAAGCCAATCTCGTAACGCACACACTGCACACGTTATATAAGACCATCTCCTTCCTCCCCACCCGGCCATCTCTTAGACCGTCAAGGGTTGATCCTTGCACCATGACTGCCACTAATCTTCTTCTGTTTGTATCCCTGGGAAGTATCGATCACTGTGACACCGAGCTGAGCCTCAGCCCCGGCGGCGTGTATCATCGCCACTCTTCCTACTCCGACACCTCTGCCAGTTCAAGCAGGTATCGCTGCTCGATTATTGTTTGTGCTTACCACTGGATCTGAACTCTCTCTGCGATGACGTAGAGTGGAGAAGAAGGTAGCCGGGAAAGCACCACAGCCGCCGGAGCAGCAGATTACCATGTTATACAATGGTCAGATCTGGGTCTGCGACGTGACGGAGATTCAGGTATGGAACAGAGGCGTTGCAGAGAGACCGGAACTCGACGCATGAATATAACTCGTGTCGTGTTTCGGAAGCTTTGGGTTGCTCATCGCTGAGAGGTGTTGCAGGCGAGAGCCATCATAAGCTCGGCCAAGCGGGAGATGGAGGACGTGGAGGCTCAGAAACAGAGCAGCCGACGACAGGGCTCGTCGTTCCCTCCTCCGGACGCGACGCCGTCTGCGCCGACACGGCCGCCGCCGCTGCTGAATCGAAGCCTGTCGATGAAGCGATCGCTGCAGAGGTTTCTGCAGAACAGGAAGACGAGGGCCGTATAGTCCTCCCCTTACAGCCATCATCACGAAACTGCCATCTGAACTTGTTTGCTGCACGGTTGTATTGGCACTTTGTTCTCCAGTTAATATGGACTTTGATGGATTCATGTTCGTGCAGTGCTATTCTCTCGAGAGGTTGATAGCGATCGATGACGACGGTTATACGTGGAATATAAATCACGCTATAAATTATAGCCAGAAGAAATCATTCCTCACTGATTGAAAGCTGAAGTAAATGATGCTGTTTGATTGGGTCAACAGCGCGGGTTCGGGTTGGTTAATCCGGTCCGACCACAATGAACTTGATATCTGAAGTAAATTATGTTGTTTGGTTGGGTCAATAGGCTGGGATCGTGTTCGGGTTGGTTAATCCGGTCCGACCACAATGAACTCGAAAGCGCGGCCAAATCCGACCGCGATGAACCTAATCGCAACCGATGGATCCGAATCGAACAGGCTGACCACAACAGATTTGGTACCAACGGGTATATAGGGGGTTTTACGGCGGGTGATCCCTCCGCTGCTTCCTGTCGCCCGCTTTCTCCCGTTCGTTCGCTCGTTCGAGATCCCTAATGGGAGCAATTGGGTCTCGGTCTCTCCTCTCTTCTCCTCCAATATATGGTGAGTTGCGGCTTTCTTGGTATTTCTCATTCAGAACAATTTGGCAACTCAAGGATTCCCTTTGATATCTTTCTTTGCTAAATTTGTCGATGATTTGAGTAGACTGAGGTAGGGGTATGATACTTAAGGTATATTTTTGTGATGGATTTGGGATTTCCGTGAAATGTTCATTTTTTTATTTGAGTTTGTGTAGTTAGCAGGTTACTGATTTTAAAATATAACTCATCAGAAGTTATGCTTCAGTGGCAAGAACTCTAATAACATCATCATCACCATCATATTTATTATTATTATGATTATTGGGAAGGGGGAGGTGAAACGTAGGCAGTATGATTGTTTACCTTCTTTAGTTGAGTTAGAGGAACTACTATTATGTATTTGGTTGCACTCAACATGCAAATGTTAATATATCTGCGACACATTCTAAATTTTTCATGTCTACAGATTATCATTTCAGATTCCAGAATGGCTTAGAAATCAACATTAGTGGGATTTTAATGAGATGGAACCTTTTAATGCGTGCTTCAGCTTACAGAGGATTAGGAAATTTCAATTAGGCAGAGGGAGTGCTGAAGTCTATAAACAAGAAGGGTTACACTCCTAGTGTGATATTTCATACTGTCTTGATGGAGGCATATGAGAAAACTCAGCAGTAAACCTTTGGAAGGATGCAGTCATCAGGTCTTGATCCATCATTAATGACATATTAAATAATTCATTAAACTTCTATTGAGGTGAATCCTTTTTTCTGTTTTTTTTGCTTAAATCATAAAAAAAAGTCCTACTTCTTATACAATTTCAAAGCAGTCTTCCTTAGCATACTGATATAATTTAATAGACAATGAAATATATAACCTCTTGTTAGAAGTGACAATTTCTAACACGGCAATCCAAATGGACACAAACTTGATACAAAATTATCAGTTTGCTTTTGGCTTGCTGGCACGAAGAGTAGAGGTTCAAGGTCAATAGATGGGATTTATTTGATTTAGCCTGCTTATTGTTCTTGGATTAAAATTTATCTGTATTGTGTTATCAACAAGTAGATTGGTCAAGTTATGTGATTAATCTTGTTCGACTTGTTGGGTTCCTTTGTAGTCAGGTCAAATCTCATCAAGACTTGAGTAGGTATTCCGTGTCATCCTTGTCCGTCTTACCTGATTTAACCTGTTTAATATCTGATATGCGTATCATCAGATTACCTCTGTGTTAGGTGGTTTAGTTCAGATTTAAATTTGTTGACATAAATATTAAACATGTTAAGTTCAGGCCGACAGTTATATTCTGCTATATCCATTTCAACAAAGCAAAACTAACCAAACATGATGTGCTACTTCATCCATCTGAAATATAAGAAGTCAACTCTTTTGTTCTAAACATTATTATTCAACTTAAGCTGTCTTTTGGCATACCACTACTATTTAACTTAGCATATCATTGTACCTAAATTTTCTTTTTTTTGAATATTTGTGATCCCCTACTCGTTGGGAATGCCCCATCTTATGTTGGACATTTGTGACAGTTTGTACCAATATCAATGGTCTCAATCCTTACTAGACCAAGTGCTAAACTTAAATTAACTACTGATTTATAATTGTCTCTTTGCTGATTTTTTTCTGTATTTTATTTACTTCACAGTCCTATTTCTCTCCTTTGCTGTTTTGTCTATGATTTAGTTTTTTAAAAATATTTTTTCAACTTAAGAAGGAAAGAAAGAGAAAAAAAGAATTACTTTTTTCAACTTAAGAAGGAAAGAAAGAGAAAAAAAGAATTACAGAAAGTAACTTGCAAACAGCAAAGCATTTAATATGAAGGCACAAGTAGCCATGAAAGCTTCAGTGAAAAGAAATAAAAATCTCAGAATATGGATTTCAACAGTTCTCTTGTATGAATTCTGTGCACTGGAATGGTTCAAATGTCAAGTTGTATAATTGCTGTACTTGGCATTGTCATTCAAAATCTATTTGTCAAGACACTGTACCAGTGCCATATGCTATCAACTTGTTATGCACGGTGAATGGATTGGTTGCTATGAACTATTGAAATGGATCAATGACCAGAAGTTGGTTTTGAATGCCTTCTAAATGAAGAAAGATCTTGTAAGCCAGACCTGAAAATGTTCCATATGATGATTTTCATGTATAAGGAAGCAGAAAATTATGATCAAGCTAGAAGGACATTGCCAATTTTTCAAGAAAATAGATGGAAAGAGAATATGAAGTACAGTTCAGTGAAACTATTTCCAGCATGATCTACTAATTTTTCTCATCAGCTCCAGTGTTGCATTGATATTAAGATTTCTACATCTTTCATCCCACAACTTGATCTTAGATCTATTGAAGCAGCACACTCGCATTAAATGTGGACTAATTGGAAAATAACTAGCTTAAAAGAACCACCTTATTAGAAAGATGCCTAAGTTACTAGTGAAAATGATTTTGATGGCCAAAGTAATAGTTATCCATCTTAAGGCTAAAATGGGTTCTCCACAGTGTAGAATGTTTGTAGTTAAAATTAAATCAATATGTTCTAAATGACTTTATAAAGAAATTGGGGATCACTTTTTTTTAAAGAAAAGGAAAATGCATTAGCTCATAAGAACTTGATACAAAATGTGAGGTGGTGAAGAACCTCACCAAAAAACATTGGTTACATTTGATTTAGCAAAGTTGGCCAGTTTATGGTCTGAATAACTCGGATTTGTGTATGTCACAACAATGATTAACAACTCCGGCTTTGGCTTGGTAAAGGATGTCTTCACAGATATTCTTTAGATGCCAAGGGAAGATGTTGGGTTTGGACAACATGTTGATCAGGGTTTTGAAGTCTGATCTGATTGTGATTTGAGTGAGGCCTTCTCAGTGGGCAAAATGAAGGCCTTCAGGTATTGCCAACATTCAGCTTCTAATGGCGTTGAGGAGTGGTTGTTGCAGCCTGCAGCAACAAAATTACCCTGCATATCGGTAATAAAAAAAACAGTTCCTGCATTGGAAGAGATAGTGTCCACTGAGCCATCACAGCTTCGAGGAAAATCAGAGTTTGTTAATGGATCTGCATTCATATGAGTAGGTATGTTCCCCTGGACATTTGGGAACACTAAATTGACATCTCAAAGACTGTTAATCAATGTATAGCTTATCTAGGAAGCAATGCAACCATAGCATAGCATGCAGGACGACATTTCAGAGGTTTCTGAGGGTAGAGTGACTCACTGATGGTTGAAAGAATTTATTTAATTGTACTCTTTTTCACATGGCTGTTGGGTAAGTTGTGGAGCAAAATGCAGCAGATAGACTCTAAGGTGCATTAAAATGTGATTGATGCAAGAGTAGCTAACATGCCTGAATTTGGAGTGAGACACTTCTTTGTTGTTGATCGTAGTCATTTTATAAAATTTCATGCTTTGTTCATTCTAATGCTGCATCACATTGTTGATCTTCTTCAAGCCTTTGGCTTATGGATACTCGTTCACAACGGCATTGTCTCTTTTTTCTCCTTCAGGCCAACATGGAAAGCATATAACATCTTGCTTGTTGACTGCATTATCTTGAATGGTGGAGAAAACACGGACTATGTTCAAATGTATGGAGACAATTGCAACCTTTTTTTTCTCTTTATCCTAATTTACAGTGGAGTTATAGCTACCATGCTTGCATAACTAATGTCTCCATTGGGTACTGCAGGTGTGAACCTGACCTATGCTCCTATGCAATAATGCTATCTGCTTATGAAATTGCAGCTGATATGGCTGGAGCTCAGTAAGTTTTTTTGCCGTATTAAAGAAGATGGTTCAAACTTCAAATCCAAATGTTGTCTATGGGACCTTGATGAGAGGTTATACAAAATTGAATTATCTCGAGAATGTAATGCAAGTAGAGAGGATGCTTTTCAAAGGTGCTGAAGCCAACCAGACCATCTTTTCTATCATCATGGGTGCCCATGTCATGAACCCTGATTTTAAGTGCTGTTATCCAGTTTGCTTACATCAGTGCCCAATTGGGTTCCCACATGATCAGAAAGCAAGGAACATCCTTCCATCTTTGGCTAAAAAACCAGAGGAACATGATAAAGCAACTAATGGAGATACTGATTTCATTTCCATCGAGGTGTAAAGAGAGTTAGCACTTTGCAATCAATCAGAGTATGAACTAAAAGGTACAACTTTGCAATAATATCATGAACTGTGCTGACTACTACCATGAAGTCCTCTACATCTGTGATCAAAACTTTCTACGAGTGTTCTGGTTCCAACAATTGTAATTGAAAAGCAGTTATGATATATTGATATTTTTTGCTTCTTTAATAAGTATATACTTCAAGTATCCCAGGAAAACCTCTTGATGTATTGAGCTCCACATTACTGAAGCTGTCCCTCAAGTTCTTGACATAGCATGAAGATTCTCCCTTGAAAACCAGCGAACTCGTGAATGTTGCATGTTGAGCAGACTAGAGAACATAATAAGGTTTGTTTCCTGCACTTCTCATGCGTTTAACTGTCATCCTTTTTCATCTCTAATTTGGAATTGATTTGGTAGGACTTCTCCTAACTGAGATGTCCTCCGCTATATATCCCTTCGATGCAGTGCTTGTAGGTGTATAAGAATTAGCAGTAAGCCATATCGGTAGATCTTGTCGGACCAGAAGCAATGTGTGCCGTATTCAGCAAGAGATTGTTCATTTACTTGCGACTTGTTTCATCAAGAGGTTGAATTCTTAGCTCTATAGCATCAGAAGAGTATCGGCAAGAACAATAAGCTGTAACTCGATTGATGTACAAAGATACATGGCACATGACTGCGATTCACATATATATCCTCAAAAACCATGCCAAAACCACGAGCAAGAAGATACGAGAAGAAGAAGAAGAAGGAAATGAACTAAGATATTGTACTAAGATGCAAGCTCCGGACAGCGACGACGGCCTCGACACGGACGCCGTCGAGTTGTCGAGCGCGTCCGAGAAGTCTTCCTCCACAATGGTGTCGAGGGTGGCTTGGCGCTGTCGCCTCGTGCAGGTTAGTCGCCACGGCGCCACCTCCGCGAACTGGGCCTTGGGCGACCGCGGGGAGCTCCGCGCCGTCTCCAAGAAGAAGGAAGCTAATTGCACTCCGGCCATCCTCTCTCGTGAGTCGTATTGCTTGAGCTCCTCTGACTTCAACTCGCTTGTTGATACGCCGCAGAGGCGGCAGGATCTTTATAGAGCCGAGCTTTAGGCTATTGTCCTCGACATTCCTCTTTGTTACCAAAATACCATCACCTAAGATCAACCTTCGTCGAACCTGCAGGAGGGGGTAGTTTAGGAATAGAGGGTATTCGCCTCGTCTGAGGCCGCAGCCAGGATGTCTTTGACATGTTCTTATTTCACCAAGCCTATTCTTGGGAGTCGGTCAAATAAAGTCCCGGTTCGGAGGGATTTATGGAGCTCTTTCCCAGTTTATGACTAAAATTGGGTGAAGTAGGGCTACCAATTTGGTCTCCCATCATAACTTGGTTGAAGTATAATTGATTGTTCATAAAAGTTAAATAATTAATTCATGTGTTATACTTATCATTTATACTTACTCTTATCAATATCGAGATTTTTATATTTAAAAAAATTATATTTAATTTTTTTATATAATTTTTAAAATAAAATAAATAAGCTCATTTACTCTTACGCGATAGTAAAAATATAATTTCAATATCTTTTTGTTTTCAACAATTTTATCGATAAAAAATAATTTCAATAGTGTTGGAAATAGAAAGATGTTAAAAGTAATTTAAAAAAGGATCACTTTTTTGTTATTCCAATATTTGATATCATATGTTATATTTTTTATCAATACAATTTATTTTATTTTTAAAATTATATGAATCTTAATATAAATTTTTTAAATATAAAAATTACAATACTAATTAGATAAGTGTATGGGGGTAATATTCAATTAACCCACAGACGGCCGAAGGATCCCTACTCGTGTATACTACTAATCTACGGTGCTTTGGGTACACGTCCACGTCCACGACGTATTTCTCCTTTGGAATATGATACGGTCTCCGAAATCGAACTCGTTGAGACCGACCCATCTGAAGAATTGGTTCGGCGCGAGCGCTTCTTCGTTCGTCTCCCTCGACGCGCTCCATTCCCGACCCAGATTCTGGTCGGAATCCCTTCTCAAAGCAGTCAGTCGGAAACCAATCGCAGATTCAATAGGTTAGGGTGACCCACGGCGTCAACTCGGGACAAGCGGTACCGTCTTGTTCTTGAATTATTTGTGTTTTCTTTTCTTCTGCACTACCACATCTGTGTTTTTCTTGAATGGGAGTGGTGGTCGTTTCAGATTCAAGCAATAGAAATATACTCTGCTTATCATCTCTTCGTCATGATTACCGATAGCTCAATCTTCGATTGCCTTGCTGTGATTGTAGCGAAGGTTTCATGTCGGATTCTGTTTCGGTGCCATCTTGTATGGATTATCCATTTGCATTCACCATCTGACGCCAAAGTTGCATAGATTTTTGGATCTGTTATATTTCTCACCGATGTGGTGACTCGTAGTTTTATGTACGACTCTGATTTGGGTTCTTTTATTAGGGATGTTGAATCATTGAGCACTATAAGGATTAGATTACTAGGATATAAAAGAATTATTAAGTTGAAGCTCTTCTACATGTAGAGGTATCCTCCTCAATTTGGGTGGTTCTTTTCTCATCATTGATTTAAGAATTTAATGTGTGGAACCAATGGTTTTGTAGAGTATCAACTTAGACTTATTCAGCTATGTTTTCCCTTGATGTTTCTTTTTAGTCATTTTCTCTTTTTATTCCAATAGTTTTATCTTCATTTTCTAACCTTCTTTTATGTTTACAAAATTAAGCTTTAACTTTAAGCTTCCATGAAAATATTTTGGTAGACTTTCCAACTTGATTGTCCCATTTGATATTTGCAAAAATCATTTCACGATAAACTTAGGCCTGTTCATGTCATCATCAATATCAAGATTCTAAGTTTTTGTTCTCCCATTCAGACAAGATCGATAAGAGCGATCGGAAACATGTACATTCAGTTGCTAACCTAGTAAAAAACAAACCCCATGAGACTCCCATCAATGCTGGATTTGGTGAGGGTCATCTCAGTGATTTAAGATAAGTTTTTCTATAATTCAACCTTGGTCATTTATGTCGCAATGAAGTGACCTTATCGTCGTACTAATTTGTATATCGAAATTGAAGATGGTAATTATTAATTTGTTATACTAGTGTTATAGATATTGGCAGTGATGAAGGTCTTTGGGCAAATTTATTATGCTTGTTGCTTGTTACCCTTTTAATGGAAATCAGTACTTGAGGGTTGCTATCATGGCATCAGTCTTAATCTTCACATTATTTATTGCATTTGTGGTGGGTTAACATAGGCCTCGTTTTAAAGACACAATGCTTTGGTATGAAAACATCCCAAACTGGTGAATATTCTTATTGCAAAGTTCAGTAGATTATGATATATAAATTATACCGAATGATCGATATATATGATTTTGTTATTGTTATTGTTGTTGTATATAGATTGCGCCTGTATATAACAATAGAAATTAAGATAATTCTCAAACTTTATTCTTGCCAAGTTTCCATGAACTTTATTTTAGCTTATCTCCATGAACTTTATTCTTTGCCGTGAATAAGCACGACTTCAAACCATCTTTTCCTCGGGCTCGGGTTCCAACTGCATGTTTTGAGGTACCTTAAGCACTCTCTATGCTACACATGAATAGCATTACTCTTTTACTCTTTTCAGTTTCTTTTTATCTTATTCCCATTTGTTATTTGCATTCTTGACTATGGTGAAGTTTGGTGATTAGAGTTGCTTTATTCTTTCCTTGGCGGGCAACTTAGGGCCACTGTGGTCCTTCAAACGCTATGATACCATCAGCTGCCGGTGTCCTGTTAGTTTCATCTGTACCTCCTCATTTGATGCTGATTACCACTTGCCTATCATTAATTGATTTTGATCATTATGTTGGGCCAAAATGTTTTTGCCTGAGAGTTCAGTCTGCACGCAACAATTGATTTGGAGGTCAAGGTCATTGCAAGACCCTACTGCTTTTCCTCTTTGACTCATCTTTAGTGTGTGCTTAACAAAAGCCAGAGGCCTTGATGGAAGTGCTGGTATCAATAGGATGTGGTCCTCGAAGAGCGAGGAGTCACAACAGGCTGAAAGCCTCACTATCTTAGCTGGGTTGAGAAGAGTATAATAGCAGACCTAAGCAATGTTGGCATCAGAGTTGGATTCTGAGAAGATTATTAGCCATTTAAAATCACTCTTTGGACGTTCCCTGGTTGCTGGGATCAATACTTACTGACTTAGCTTCGATGGCTATGGAAGCTAATGTAGACGATTTTTGCAGTGTAAGCAGGAATGAGAATCCTCAATGAAACGACAGATTCTGCTTCAAAAACAGAAGCAAAAGGGTGCTAAACTTGATTGGCTCCAAGTTAAAACTCAAGCTGATGTTGTCTTGCCGATTGTAACTGTTCTTCCCAGTTTTTACTTCTATTTTGCTGGCAAGATTATGATTGCCACACCATAAGGTGGTCAACGAGTCACTTGGTATGATTTGATATCTGTGAGAAACCCTTCCACGAAGGCCGACTCTGTATCTGCTCCTGTGCGTTGCTCCTTGTTGCTGCTACCCTTTTCATCAAACACAGATGCCTTTATCCAACAACATCCATTGTATTTTGTGTGACTGAGGGTTGAAGAACCTCATCTTTTGAGCATGACCGGTGGTAAAACACATACATTGTGTTTCCCTGGATGATTTTTGTGTGAATGCTTGTGATACTACCACCTGTTCTTCTACCCTGGCACGATGATGACCATTCTCTTTGCTCCATATAATGGATCAAGAATATCCCAATTTCTGCATGGCCAGCGTCGGGACAAGTACGAGTGCCTCTCCCTCGCTCTCACCTCGTGGCTCGTGAAACCCCTCCCATCCATGCCCGCCTACGGTATCCTTCGGCCGATGCCTTCGCTCTCTATAAGATGCCTACAATGCTGAAGCTGTTTCCTTGGTTCTCTTAGGCTGGTCATGTCTCCGATTGCGCCTTCTCCTCGTAGTTGGAAAGAGAACCGCAGCATCGCCGCGGAGTTCGAGGGAGCTCTTCTCATCTCCAGCAGCCTCTTCCCGTACTTCATGCTGGTGTCCCTGGAAGCCGGCGGCCCCGTCCGGGCCCTCGCGTTGCTCCTCCTCGCCCCCCTCGTGCGGCTCTTGGAGCTCGCCGGCCTCGAGTGCGTCGCTCTTCGAGTGATGATCTTCGTCGCCACAGCGGGCCTCAGGGTGGACGATCTCCAGGCGGCCGCGAAGGCCACCCTCCCCAAGTTCTACCTGGAGAACCTCCGGCGCAGCGCGTACCGTGTCTTCACCGGCTGCGGTGGCAAACGGTACGTGATCACCTCGTGCCCGAGGATCATGGCGGAGCCGTTCTCCAGGGAGTACCTGGACGTCGACGGCGTGCTCGGCACGGAGCTGAGGGCGTTCCAGGGGTTCTTCCTGGGCTTGACGTCCCCGGGCGGCTTAATGTCTGGCTCCCGGCGGCTCGAAGCTCTCCACGCGGCCATGGCAGGTGCCGAGGTGATCGACGTTGGACTGTGCGGGAAGGACAGAGATCAGCCCTTCATGTCCTTGTGCGCGGTACGTACACTCACCGTTTGTAGGTTTGCTTCGCTTCGACGTGCTCGGTTGGCGATGGGAGTGATGTCGGTGCTTCTCGCAATGGACACACGCACGCACACACACACCTCAGCCGATCGTTGACGTGTCTCCCCCATCGCAGGAACGATACTGCATCACACCACAGGACGCAGCCCAACCCGTGCCAAGAAGCGAGTACCCGAAGCCGTTGATCTTCCACGACGGTCGTCTGGTGGCGCTACCTACGCCGTTGGATTCTCTCATCGTTCTCCTGTGGATACCTTTCGGAGTCGTATTGGTCACGTTAAGGATCCTCGTAGGCCTTTCCTCCCCTTACAAGCTGTGCCTCCTGTGCACCGCCGCCACCGGCGTTCGCATCAGGGCCCAATTCCACGAGCCCCGATCCGACGCCGCCACACGCAGCAGGAGCCACACATTGTTCGTCTGCAACCATCGGACGCTCGTCGACCCCGTGATCATATCAACCGCCCTCCGGCGGAAGGTAACAGCCGTCACGTACAGCGTCAGTAGACTGTCGGAGCTGATCTCGCCGATCCCGACCATCCGACTGAGGCGGGACCGCTTCGAGGACGGTGCGAGGATGCGGTCGTCGCTGGGCCACGGCGACCTGGTGGTGTGCCCGGAGGGCACCACCTGCCGGGAGCCGTACCTGCTCCGGTTCAGCCCGTTGTTTGCGGAGATCGCCGAGGACATCGTGCCGGTTGCCGTCACCAACGAGGGGAGCATGTTCTACGGCACCACCGTGCGGGGGCACAAGTGCTTGGATTCCTTCTTCTTCCTCATGAATCCCCGCCCTTTCTACGGGTTGGATTTCTTGGCGAAGGTACCGGGCGGGCAGAAATCCAAGTACGATGTGGCCAATCACATCCAGCAGGCGATCGGGCGAACGATTGGGTTCGAGTGCACCAACTTGACGCGCAAGGACAAGTACAGAATGCTCGCCGGCCATGATGGCTTGGACCCAAGGAAATGATTGGGCTAATGATACAAGCTCGTACCAACCAAGTGAATGGATGTCACACCGTCTTGTCTCTCAGTTGTGTAGTGAACGACCATAGTACATTAGCATATGCATGTAGAGGTCAAAGAGGTAGGTTATTAGATCAATCAATGTGGATCGATCTTGCTACTATATATATATATATATGTATAAGTTTTGATTTCTGTGGGTTTTAACACCCAAATTGGTCTTTGATAATGCATGTGGCTTAGTAACTTTAGGTATCATTTATGGCGAAAAATCTTAGGCAATGAGCGATGGGAAGTGACAGTGTAAGACGAGATACACTTATGTTCAGAGGGAGAGCTCTCACGTCTAACGGGTCGATGCGAATCAATTTTAATGGGTCGGAGCAAATCATCCAAACCAGGAGCAATCCACATACCGATTCTTGCTAAGTCGGTTGGACGAACCAACAGTCCTAAGACGATAGGAACACTATATGACATGAATACTGCTTCACCTCTGAGTGCATCTCTGTTTTTTCCTTGGAATTTTTGTTGGGAAGTGGATTGTTTTACCATAGGAATTCATCAAGTGAATAATGTTAATCTTCCCCTTCCTTGAATTGAATTTACTCTTCTCTTCCTGTGCAGCATTTGCATATTTTACCGTAACCGAGTCTATCACAATCTTCCCTGGTGAGATTACTCAACCATCTTGAAACTGATTTGAGATTCACTATAAGCTAAATGAGTATCACAACAAGAAAAACGCATGCAAAAACACACTGGGAACATAGTTTCATCTACAGAACGTATAAGCAAAAATATAGGCATTATGACATTATTTTCCCTTTAGGTACGGTTTCATACACCGGGCATCAAATAAACTCAGGACAGCGTTGACTTGTCGTGAGAGGGCAATTGAATTATAAAAAGATAAAACTGTGTTCCGACTATATCTGTTACAAGTAATTGAATCACTAAAAAGTGAAGTGCCCTTCTCTACAAAACAAAAAAAAGGGGGAAAAAAGACAACTGAGATTCATTTTACAATAGCTTATATGGCAGATGACCCGAGCATCTTCCAAGATCAAATGAAGATGTGATGAGTAATCGAACCTACCCAAAGCTTAATTAGTCGTCTGAAGTTGTTTTGAACCACCACCCGTTGGATGCTTTTACAGGACACCACAATTTGAGAATATCAGATCCACCGCACATCGCTTGCTCAACCCTCGACCGGTTGTAGCCGTCTTTTCCTGCTTCACAGCTCAATTCCAGCTCCAACTAATGCAGCTGTGACTGTGGCCGATGCTTCTTCAAGTGTCCGTCGCTTTTTCACTGTATTGAAGGCCTCAATAACATCTCCAGCTTCCCAATCATCAAAATCATTAACACCAATACCACACTCGAGCCCAGCACCAACCTGGATACCAGAAACAAGGCTCACTAAGTTTGAGATAGAAAACATGGTCATGAGTGAGTAACAAAAGCTGCAGTGCATTTGGGAAAACTTGTGTGCCAAAATCTACATCACATAATGAAAGAATGATTCATTAAAAAATTGCACAGCAACAAAGTTCATTACGTCTTAAGCTAACAAGAAGCATCTATACTTTCAATGTATTATAAACTCAGGAAACATTATTGAAGATCTGGTGCTTCCAAGTTATAATAGTAACAAAAACAGAAGAAGTTGTTCATCAAAAGAGATTTACTAGTTTGATTCATGTTTGGTCTAAGAATTTTTTATGAAGCAATACAACAGGAAAATCTTGCTACTTTGTACTAGTTCCATATTAGATATATATGCGAAAGTTCCTTGAGCAAAACCATATTCCATATTGGGAAAGATGTATTAAAAAGCATGAATGCAATAAAATAACAACACATCAATTATTTTAGAATAGAGTTCCTTTCGTTTTCCTGAATAAGATTTACTACAGAAATAAATTAATTGCTATGAACTTGTAAGATTTTGGGTGCTCAAATTACATTGAGCACCATCTACGATCATGGTATGCCTGATACAAGTTTTTGTAGTAGCTTTATCTGTAATATTGTGAATTATTAGTAGACAACGAATCATGTTGAGCTGTTCTCCATACAATGATCAACTGTTTGTGGCTTACCTCCTTTACTTCTTCCTTCACCCGTCGAAGAGAATCAATTGTGCCAGTATGAACTGTCTTCCCGTTTCGAACAACCCGAACACCACAGTCTTTCACCACCTTTCCTTCGGTGACCATGCATCCAGCAACACGTCCGCTACCACTACCAAATGTTGCTCGAACATCTGCTGTTCCTATTGGGACTTGTTCCTAGAAGATTGTAAACATAAGTAGGATTAAAACAAAATGTCAGCGTAGGATTCCAAGGCATCCATGCAAAAGAAAGAATCTAATGATAGTCAAATGTTCACCTCAACAGGCTCTAGAAGCCCTTCCATTGCGTTCCTCATGTCATCAATAAGGTCATATATGACTCTATATAGCCGTATCTCAACGTTCTTTTTGTCTGCATAACTCTTAACTGAACCAGGAGCTTTCACATTGAAACCAAATATAATGGCCTCAGAAGCGACAGCCAGATCAACATCACTTGTGCTAACCTCCCCTGGAGCTTGGAGGAGGAACTTCAAATTGACATTATCTCGAGGGAGCACTTGAAGAGCTTGTCTGATAGCTTCAATTGAACCCTATTATGTATGAAAACATTCAATCTTACAGAAATGAGTCCTGTACAAACAATGTGCTGGATATGACATCCAAGATAACATGCATCTGGAGACATCTTACCTGAACATCAACCTTTAGAATAATATTCAACCGGTGCACATCTAAACCAGACTGCTTTCCTGATGCAACAGCAGAAGCAATGGAAGACAGGGTGACCTTCGTTTCCCCTGCCTTAGCAGATATCCGTGCAGCCTGTAATGATTCTGCACATGCTTCTGCCGTTTGACGTGCAACATCGAGGGATTCAACAACCTCAAATTCATCACCAGCAATAGGAACACTACCGAGACCAATGACCTATGAATTTGAACATTCAAAGTGAGGAAGGAAAGGCATGAGAGAGCAGTTAAGAAATAAGCAAAACAATATCGAGAGTCAGGACAACTAGATCATGACATCACATTATAGTTTATGATGCACATATCCTTTGAGATTATAAAAAGGCCGTACCTCAAAATCCCATTGTGTATAATTCACTAGTTGTTCTTTTGTGTTGAGCAGTTTGTTCAAGGATAAAAACTACTTTGTATGGCGCAAATTACTAGATGTGGAGAAAATAATTTTTCTGATTCAAGTTGTTCCCATCATGGTCAAGTTATTCAGCTTTTTTTTTCAAGCATCAATTACTTCATTAAGCTCCAAGTTCCAACAACATATCACTTTTAATCAGTTTTCAAATCCAGCATTTTTCAATATAAAGAATTGTCAAAGTAGTAGCTTCTAAGACATTTTGACGCAAATAAAAGTCTGTCACAGAATCATATCCTCATCACAAGGTTTTCCAAACGATGCATAGCATGTGCATATGCAACAGCTGGACATAAGCCAGCATACGTGAGATGGTCTTCAAATTAACTGGACATCTGAATTTTGCACAAGACTGGACTAATAATTTAGGTAAAAATGGCACTCTAGACTAGAATTAATGAGTTCCCCGTGTAAGTTTTGGGTGAATATGGACATGAGATTTGGAGACACATACGAGTGTCAAGTGCAGTGAGGAGACAAAAAGGTGATATAGGAAAACAAGAAAAAAAGCTTATCCAATTGAATATGGTAACTATTTGCAAGAAAAAAAATGATGCTGAATGGAAACTACTCTATATTGTGTAAATCTTTTTCTTTTTTGTTCTCACTTACCATGATGGGGAAGAAGTCCTCACAATCAATTTCGAGCAAACCGATGCTGAACATCATTGTTATGTATGCAATGCATTTCTAAGGGACGAGCTAAACACCCCATATGCATGGACAAATCAAACTAGCTTGTTCACTCGTTCATAAAGTTATTCTGGTTGAGTGATGTAAATATCTCAAACATTTTAAGAGTAGGACAAACGATACAGATGTATAAGAAAAAAAAACCTGCACAGCCATTGATGGTCCCACTTCATCAACACGACCTCCTCTGTCATCAAACATAGCACGCACCTGCTCATGAGAAAAAATGGCGTGGAACATTGGCAAGATATCAGAAAGGGAAAGATACCAAGACCATTGCATGATACAAAATTTCGAGATAAAACATTGGTAACGTGTATAAAAAGGCTGGTAAATAGTCATTTCCATTTTTTTTCCTAGGAAGATCCCTTAATTGTTGAGTACGAACCTTTCCAAAAGCTGCACCACACACAACAACATCACCCTTCCTAAGGGTTCCATTTTGCACAATAAGTGTAGCAATGGCTCCCTTTGCTTTATCCAGACCTGCTTCTATGACAGTGCCTTTAGCATTTCTTTTTGGGTTGGCTTTCAATTCTTGCAGCTTCAAATTATGAAAGATCTGAATCAGGTACTGAATTCACTGAGAGAACAAACTTCAAATCTGAGACCAAACCTTATACCTCTGCCACAAGCATCACAGTTTCCAACAGTTCATCAACATTCTCTCCCTTAAGAGCACTGATCTGATTCAGGAGACCACGAAACATTCTTTAGAATCATGAAAAATGAATGGTTATTATTATTTTTTAAGGGGGAGAGGGAGCAACCTGAACCATAGGGATGTCACCGCCCCATAATTCTGGCATAAGGCCAACAGAAGAAAGCTCTTGCATAGCTCTTTCAGGATTTGCTCCATCCTTATCTATCTGAATCCACAGAATGAACATGCATGATTAGTTATTTGCATGCCAGATACGAACAACATGTAGCATGACTGAACTAACATGCCTTATTGATAGCAATGACAATAGGCACCCCAGCTGCCTTTGCATGAGCTATTGCTTCATTAGTCTGTGGGCGGACTCCATCATCAGCAGCCACTACAATGATGACAATGTCAGTCACTCTCGCTCCACGTGCCCTCATTGCACCAAAAGCCTGTTTGAATTTTAGACTAGGAGTTAGTTGCATTGAATAACTCACCAGTAACACTCAGTTAAGTAGTCAGCACAATATAACTTTATTCTCAAAAGTACAAAATTTACTTTATACCTAAAACCGAGACCATCTAGAGGTCGTAAAACCAAAAGGGAATATCAGCTGAAAATTCCGATGGCAGAATAAAAGGAACAAAAAACAAATACCTCGTGCCCTGGGGTATCAAGAAAGACGCATGGTCGAGGCTTTCCATCGACTGGCACAAGAACCTTGTATGCTCCGATACCTTGAGTTATTCCACCTGCCTCTGATGCTACCACCTGTAATCATGAGTCAGACTGAAATTTCAAGAGCTGTGATAGATACATGGAGAATATTTTGTCTATGACTGGTTTGCAAGACACTTGAGCCCATCACTAAGAAATTTGATACAGGTAAACATGCAATATAAAGATTCAGAAATTACCCTGCTCTTTCGAATATAGTCCAGTAGTGTCGTCTGTGAATCAAGATTACCAAACAAAGAAATTAAAGGTCTATTTGTACAAGGATTTAACTCTTCGAGTAGCTTACAAAATAAAAAAAAAAACTGATACCTTTCCATGATCCACATGCCCCATGATTGTAATAACAGGAGGCCTGTCTTCTAACATGTCCAAGTCCTCTTCATCGAGAACTTCCTTCTTCTTTGCCATCTCTTCCACTCTAACTGGATCAACTTCGATTACTTCCACATCATATTCTTTGCATATCATCTTGACAATGTCTTTATCAAGCGTCTGGACTGCATTAGGCCTAACTCCCCTTGTGTACAAAAATGCAAGAATATCTGCTCCGCTGACAGCCAAGTTATATGCCAACTCCTCAGTCAACATGCCTTCTTTACCCACCTCAAGGATCTCGACTTTAACAGGTTCTGCGGCTTTAGCTGCTTGCAGTCTTGCAGCTTTACGGCTTGCTTTACTCCATTTCCTTCCTTTCCTTGGCTCTGTAACCCCGGGGATCGGCACGTTAAGCTCCGAGGCTTCCTCCTCGGATATCTTCCCATCATCCACCATACGTCTGCGCAAACTTCCCGTGGAACTTGATTTCTTACGGCGATCATCTTTGGCTTTGGTTGGTGGGGGCCCTTTTGCTGGTTTCAAAGGGGTTGCTAGTATCGCCTCAGCGGCAATTGGATCAATACCTGGTTTCTTGGATGAAAATTTATCTATAAGAATCGGTTTCCTTTCCCTCTGGACATCAGGCGTCTTGGCTGCAGGAATGGTAGGTGGAGCAACTGGAGGCTTTGCTTGCAACTTTGGCCTGGCTGGTGAAGGCATCTGAGGCTTCAAAGGTGCAATCGGAGGAGCTCCCAACGCATTTGTCACTGTGGTTGTAGAGGAATTTTTCTCCTCTTCCTCCTTGACCTTTGCTGGTTCTTTAACTGCGTTTTGCACACTAGCCACAGGGTTCCCCCTCCGCCAAACACTCTTAGTTGTCTTCGAATTCCTTGTAGCCAAAGTTGCATTCGCCGGCCTACCTGATTTGGAGCTGCCATTGGACACACCAGTGTCCCTGATATCTTTGCCACCAAATTTGACCGCATTCGCAGTTTCAAGTTTTTCCACCTTATCTAAAACCTCACCAAGGGATTCCATCATTTCCTCGCCGTCTTCCATTGGAGCCGCCGGCTTCTCACGAACAGCCTTGTCGGATGACCAATTAGAGGAGGCCGAGTTCGAAGGATCTAATTGACCATTGGGGGGCGCTCTGAGCACCGGCTTCGGAGGAGGCTTGAGGATGAGATCGGCATCATCGTTTCTGCTAACACTGCTATTACTAACCTTGAATGTGGACTCGGAAGAGACCGGAATTCCCCTCTCCTCGATCAAATTGGTGGTCACCATACACTTACAAAATCGACCTCGAGCAACACGCCACTGCATCGACCCGTAGAAGCTACTAAATCTAATACTAGAAACGACATGAATCCTCCGAACAGTGACAGCCGAGGAAGAGACCTCGAAGACACCCGGGGAGGAGACGGGCCTCGCGCTTCCCAGCGACGCAAGGGAAGCAGGAGACGCCATTGCTTCACAAGAAAGCTACACAAACATACGTTTCCCACCAAACTAACACAAAAATCGCATCTTTCGATCGCCGCTCAAACGGCCAAAACAACACAACAGAGTTCGAATCTTGAACGAAAGGATGTCCGATTATCACCGGAACTTCACGAACGCAAGGGTTCCGAGGAACCTGCGAAACCCTAATTCAACTCCAAAAAGAGAACGGGAGGCGTCAAATTGATGACGGATAAGGCCCGGTGGTAGTTGTGGACAGAAGCAGTACCAGAAGAAGTTGAGATAGACTTGTTCTTTCTTCTCCCCCCAAAACAAGAGAGAGAGAGAGAGAGAGAGAGAGAGAGAGAGAAGAGAGAGAGAGAGAGAGGAGGAAATATTTTCTCATAAATAATAATAATAATAATAATAGAACAAATTGTATGGAAACTGATGGTAGGAAAAAGGGGTTGGGTTTTGGGAGTTTGTCGGGGGAAAGATGTGGCGCCTTCTCCACTCGTCGATGTATACGTTGTAGGTGATAAGGCTTGTGGTATTTACGATATCCACTCAATATGATAGGTTACTTGTGGTGCTACGAGGGGCTATTATTTTATTGCTCTTTTTAATCTTTTTAAAAATAATAAATAATATGTAACGATGATATTTTATATAAATATATTTATAAAAAATATGGTTCAAATTTAATCAATTTATATTTTTATAATTTTATTAGTTTTATTATTTATAAAAAGTAAAATTCGACTTAAGACGTTACGATTATCTATCAAGATCTTTTACTAAATCAATCAATTTTATTAGTTTATATATATGGATATTGTTGGAGGATGAGATGAGCCAGAAATACATGTTTTTCATTTTATATCCACATAAAAAAAATTATTTTTTATTTTTTATTAACGTGAATGGGTGCATGTAATTCCAATGACATGAATGCTAATTACATTTGTGATATAATATACATAATATTATATAAAAATGCTTGATCTGATTTTTTTTAAACTCTTTATTTTTTTACTCTTAATATAATTTGATAATTTTTTTTATCAAATTATTATGAGTGATTTTTCTTAATAAGTCTCATTTTTATTTTTTTTCTTAAAATATATCTTCTATTTTTATTTTTTTCAAGTAATATCAAAAATATCTTTCACCAATTTCAATGGTCCTTTTTCCACTAATCTGGAAGACATGTTTATATGAATATTACTATATGAATTTATGTGCTTCAGCCCGAGAACAGAACTCCTCCTCCCATGTCTGGAGTCAAACTAGCAACTGAGTTGAATTCGCAATGCAACTGATGTTTACTGCACTACAAAGAGTCCATGAAGCCCTGCTAAATGCATTACACTGACCAGTTTTGTTTGGGAACTCCACAAGCACAGCTTCGATCTTCAGTTTTCTTGGAGAAGAGTAGTTCAGCGTCTGATTAATTCCAGAACTTCTCTTTGGCCCATGCAATGGCTTCATCGATGCTTTCTTGCATGTCATGGCCACCGACTTCTATGCTGAAGGAACACTCTGCGGCTTCCTCCTCCATCATCACATCCTCTGCTTCTGCTTCTGCTTCTGCTTCGGCCAGCAACGGGTGGTCGAAGATAACAGAGGACATTCCCGATGCCGGTGACTCTGTCGCGGAGCTGTCACACCGCAGAGGCTTCTCATGGCGCCCGCGGAAGCTGGCTTCAAGGTTGGAGGTCTCACGGTACGAGAAGCATGATTGCTGCGCGAACAAGTTGCAGAAGGAACGTGAAGGGCGTTGCATGGTGATCGAGCTCCTGTTGCTGTGATCTTCTCTGGAGTTTGCTGACAGCGGAGACGAAGATTTATGGCATCTTGGTGCTGCGATCGGTCTGCTTATGGAGAAGTCTCAAAAGAATCAGAGAGCATGTCCCGGTATAACCTTATGCTAACTGTAGATCTACACGAATACGCACCGGAGCTTGTAAGCGAGAGAAGAAGAAAGCACGACGTCCGCGGGTGTGGACTCGCCGCGGATCGAAGGGCTCACGTGCTCCGAGCTCAAGATCGACGGCGACTCGCTGGACTTCGATCTCGACCCTCTCGCCGACCGGAGGTCGCCGTGCGATCCGAATATGTCGTCGTAGAACCCCGTCTCCGTCCTCACCGACGTCCTTCTTGTCCCCGCCGATGGCTGTAACACCTCGTCGGAGAGTGGGGAGGGTCGGGTTCTGCGGTAGGCGGAGAGGTCTCCGGCGAAGCGGCGGAGAAGGACGCTCTTTGGCGGCCCGCCGAAGACGTCGCGGAAGTCGTCGGGGTCAAGGGAGTTCTTCCGGTTCCGCCTCGCCTCCTTGCCTGCCAGCGATCCGGCGGACTTCCGCCACGATTCGCGCTTCATCATGGCGTTACGATCAGACGGCTCGGAACCGTTTTGGAGGAATGAACGCCCGCCGTTGGTGCTTTATAGTGACGCGAGACGACGACGCAAAAAGCGGATACTTAATAGTTAATAAATTCTTTATATATATATATATATAATTTATTTTCTCCTTTTTACCACTTATTCATTATAAAAAATCAAATTTATTTTATTTAAAATTAATAAATAATTTACTTGTTGCCATCAGCCTGTTTAATTCACAAGTATTCTAACGATTATATATATATATATATATATATATATATATATATATATATATATATATATATATATATATATATATATATATAGCTTGAATTGCAGGGAATTTGCTGTGTGAATCCAATAAATGCTAATCGATCTCCTACTTTTGCTGATCAATCATATAATGTTGGAAAGATTATAATTGCAGTAGTATACATTACTTGCAGAAAGCAAAAGGCAAAAGAGTATCACAACCGAGGAAAAGTGGAAAGGAAAGGAAGAGCATGTGGAAGAGAGGATAACTGCCCACATCCATGCAGACATAGCATGATGAAGCCACCTTTCCATCAACAAACACACCTTCGTGTAAGATTGCTAACCAGCCAATTCGGACTAAAAAAGATGAAAATTTTCATGTAATATATATATATATCAGTGTGTAACGATGGCTTTAAGATGACCGGAAAAGGGTGAATCAGATGATGTATGGGAATAAACTTGGGGAAACATATGCTTTCTAATGAAGAGGCATGGCCTTCTTTGATCTAGACAGCAGGAAGGAGGCACTTGTGTTGTCTCCTAGCTCAGAGCACAACAGTGCAATGATACAAGGAACAGCAAAGCTTGGCACGACCATGTCAGAGATTTCTTCTTCTTTAACTTCAAATGCCACTGCTGCTCCTTTATTATCCATGCAGTGTTTGTTCCTGCGAGACAAAGCAGTGATTTCCTTCAGCTCCTCTACCCAAAGTGTTCCCTAAAGCCATACGATCTAATGAAGTAACTCAACAGCACATGAAAGAAAGTGCTGAGATGGAGAGACTGATCTTTGATGCAGAATACACACAAGTTCTTGTCATTAGATACAGTCGAGGGACAAAATCATCAAAGTTACTCCTGAATATGCAAATGCTGAGTTGACCTCAAATAGTTTAGACATTATGACTTATTGTTACTGTTGTTGCTTTTGTTACAGCACGACACACTAACATCACCAAGGAAACTTAAACCATTGTCTCAAGATTGGATGACAAAGAAAGCTTTCTTGGTTCTTTACTCCAAAATCATGATAACTATAAGGCTGAATGAACACTGCCCCACCTGGTCTCACATCCTTTGTGTTGCACAAGGAGTGTGCAAAGCATTGATGTTTTACGACTGTTATTAGGACTGCCTAAAAAGCAGCAGGCTCTTCTTTTCCTCCTCAATAAAGAACTTTACAGTAGGAATCTTTAGGAGCACAGTGCAACATAACGATAACAGTTCCCAGAGAAGGAGAGAAAACATGAAGTAGGGAAAAGAAAGTAATGCAAGAGCTAAAACTCAATCTATGTGATTCAAACAAGTTTTGGACGACAGTCAGAGAATCATTATCATAGAGAAATGAACGCGTTAATCTATGAAGTTGTCATTTTTCCACTAAGATAGGATTTGGTTTTGGATTACAGCTTAGATCGTACTATAATAGAAGTAGGTTTTGGGTTGGACTTTGAATCTAATAATATAAATCTCTATGTTAAAAATGTCAATAGGTAATTGTTTGTGACTCAAAATATTAAAATTTAATTTGTTATTGCCGATCCTCTTACTATTGATAATCCTTAAAAAAATAATAAAATATATTTTTTACTATTTACAGTCTCTTACTTTTCAATCATATTCTTATTTTCACAATCTCTTATTTCATCCGTCGGAATCCTAACTACGTCGACCCTCTCCGTCACTCTGTTGTTCGACATCGCTCGACACTTAGACCACGAAGAAGGAAAAGACAATAGAAGAAGAAGCATGAGGAGGAGGAAAAAAAGAACAAAAAGTGAAGATGATGAAACATTTACTTTGTTTATAGAGAGATATCTTGGGAATAAAAATCTCCTTTTTTTTTTTTTGATGTATGATTGATTAGGTGTCACCCCTAAAATTTCCCACGTGTAATTCGAGCCACAATTTAGTTCTTTCATTAGAAATTAGAAATTAGTGCATATCCTGATCAGATGTCATCCTGCACTGCTCTCATTGGTGACTATGTGTTTGCTCTTGATGGGAACTTGGAAGCTCAGGAAAGAGAGGTTAACGAAGCATGCAAGTAATTCATTGAAGCAATGACGAAGTGTAAGTTGATCGATTGTATTATCGTAGGCCAAGCATTGAGCATTGCAGCCAACAAAAGATGATGTCTGAGCATCACAAACATGGCATTCTGAGCCAGATAATACTTGTCCGAGACAAGGATAAACAAACTCCTTGCGGCTCTTGTTCATCTGCCTCCATTTACTTCGATGCAGAGTTCAACCTAGCCAGTTACGGATCCTGCATGAATTAGAAACATCAACAAAGTAATCAGACAACATCACCAGTGGAAACAAACACTATGGTTCTTAAAGAACACGAAGAGGGCCTACTTGCAACAGTCAAAACTCTGAGTTGATGGGGAAGGGCAGCGGCGTGCCTCACTGTCTCGTGAGGCCGCTGACGGCGTCGTCGTTGAGGTCGGGGAAGTGCGCCGCGGCCTGCTTGACGCAGGTGCTGGCGAACTGGCGGTCGGCGGTGGTGGTGCCCAACGTCCTGAGCCTGTTAACTCCGGCTCGGCAGGCCGGCGTCGGCGCCGGCTGTTGGCCTGGTGAGGTATGCGATTCATGGAGTCAAGCACATGTCGACTTCAGTGCACGTCAGTGTGTGCCCAGGTGAAACCATTAGGTGGGCGACAGCGAGGGTTAGGAGGAAGCCTGCAAGTGCTGCCTTCATTGTTGTTCTGGCTCACAGGACTCCGCAGAGTGCGGATGGAGTCGAGAGGCTCCATGGAAGGCATTTACAGAGAGTCTGTAAGACTGATGAGAGCTGGGTTTTCGAAACTGCTTCATGACAGTGAGCACAGCGTGACATCAAGTCAGTTTTCCAAAAGGATAAGGTGATGAGAGCTGGGCATGGTTTCATTTGTTGTTTCTTCCCATGTGATCTTAGGGAGGTTGCCATTTTCTCCATTTCAATTTGGATATATGATTCAAAAGAAGATCTTGTATCTAATTCTGCAACTAGGCATGCCAACTTTGAGTGAAACCTGTAGCAGAAATCAAAACCAGGAGCAAACTCATAAGCCCCCATCAGGTCCCCTACAAATACTATCCTCAATCCCTTACAACCTGGTGTTTTTGGCCAGCTAGCTAATGGCTTCACTTGCAGAAATGCTGAGGCTGAGGACATCCTCCTAAAGCAGTGTGGCATGCTGATCCTGTAACCCATCTAATTATATGCTACGGTAATTATGATTGTTATTGTAGAGTTACAGGTTATCAGGTTCAACAATCATTTGCAGCTTGATGTCGAGGATGAAGTAGTTTAGAACGGCGATGAAATGTAGGTCGGACAACAAGGCGGAGGCCCACCTGTCTCCGACGACCCGGACTTCGACCTTCCTCACTTAGCATTGCGGACCCATCGTCGGTGTGACCACAAAAGGCCACATGACGGTCCTGCAAAGTGTTGTTATACGTTAGTCGGATGAGGAAGCCAGTGCCTGGATTGATGATGATGGAAGGCTTTGGTAGCCAATCAAACACCTTGTTTGCAATTAGATTAGCAACGGCCAGCTCGGCGGAGGATCCCACCACCGCCCTTGTCTTGTCACCCACTTCGCGGGCACCAGCCACGTGATCTTGTGGTCACGCCACCCACTCCCCTCCTCCCCATCTCCACCCACTCACGTGTACTGGGGCCCATCCACGGCCAGGATTCACCAATTAAAGCATCCGAGAAGGAGTACCGCGCGCAGGGAGGTGGGACCCTGATTTTTATCCCATCACTATGTGGGTAGACGAGTGAGTACGATGGACGAGTACGAGGAGTGGATTTGTCTCAACAATCCTCTCGGACCACGACAAAAGAAACTACACGTGTCACGAGAAGAAAAGAGGAATACAGTGCGCCGTGGACCACACAAAGCAGCTATGGGGGGTCAACGACCGGTCAACCCCAGCAAAACAACCAAGGCGAGAGTTCAGTTCTGGTGGGACCCGTTGCCAGCTGAGACCACGTTCTCGGCTGTTCCCAAGCAGCGCGGGCCGCCCGATCGCGATCACGCGACTGCAGGTCCATCTCGCAAACGTGGGGGCTATTTTCGCTACCGACCCGAGGCCCAGTTGCTAGTAGGCTACTTTGGGTGCGCCTTTAGGTGACGTCACTGTGGGAAGAACCTACTCGATCGCGTACCCGTCTACTGTGGGCGTCGCTAGCGACAAGCAGCCGTGGGACCCGGGACAAAAGCACCCAATAATATCGTGACGCGGGGTGGTCAAGCGAGTGGGCCTGCGAGCGGCATCATTCGCGCGCCCACAGGGCGAAGCTGGCTGTCGGTAGCCCACGCTGAGCTGTCCACTATTGGACGTAAAGAGGCCGACACGTGTCCCCATCCAATTGATCTCTTTTCCGCTTCCGAGGCCACCAGATCCCGCGCTTTCTCAAGACTTCCCACCAGTATATAAAGAGGCACTCCGGTAACTGTCGGTGGCGGAGAGAAGACTAAAAAAGAGGAGGCGTAGGGGCGGCGGTGGGAGGAGGAGGAGGAGGAGGAGGAGGGAGACGGCTGAGATCCGTCGAGATCGGGGGGCCACAGAGATGATGCGGATGCGGCGGTCAGGGTCCGACGACGGATCGAGCCGCGGGTCGGCGGAGGAGGCGGCGGCGGGGGCTAGGGAGGTGGGCGGAGAATGGGAGATGAGGCCCGGCGGGATGCTGGTCCAGAGGCGCGGGTGGGATCCAGGGGCGCCGCCGCCGGAGATGCGCCTCCGGATCTCGTAC